TCTCTCTCTCTTAAATGAGACGGACACCAAGCTTGGTAAATAAAGCCTTTGGAACGAAACTCTTTGTCTCAGTTCTTGTTAACGACCTGCTCCCCAACAAAAGAGCAGCTGAAAGTCAAGTCACAGTTTCAACACACATTCAGGAATATGAGTAGTCTTGTCTTGGTTTCAGCTCTTAACCAATTAATGTCCTTCTCTCCCATTTTCTAGCCCACTGTAACTTAATTAGGACATCTTGGAATTCTTCTCTTATCATGCTACAGAGACTGTCCCAGCTCCCCTACACTGCACTGACTCAACTGAGTGTCAGCCCCCATGTTTGGGTCATAATTTAACTGTCAACTGCACATTCAGTAACTTTCACAGATGCCAAGAACAACACGGAAAAGGACTTTTTTTTTTTAAGATTTTATTGGGGAATTGGGGAAGGGGAACAGTGTTGGGGAGTTGAGGAAGGGGAACAGCCAAGTTGTTGTCCTTCAATCTTAGTTGTGCAGGGTGCAGTTAGCTCATCTCCAAGTCCAGTCGCCATCCGGCAGCCCGTTGGCAACTCGCAGCCGCTCAGCTCAAGGTGCCGTGTTCAATCTTAGTTGCAGGGCATGGGAGGGCGGGGGACAGTCCACCATCCCATGGGAGAGTCGAACTGGAAACCTTGCTGCTAAGAGCACACGCTCTAACCTCTGAGCCATCCGGCCGCCCATAGGCAGCTCAGCTCAGGCGCAGCTCACTGGCCCATGTGGGAATTGAACTGGTGACCCTGTTGCTCAGAGTTCGCACTCTTAACCAACTGAGCCACTCGGCCGGCCCTCCCAGATTTCTTTTTAAAGGACAGTCACATGGTCAAAAACTGAAACTGTACCAAAGGATGTAAAATGAAAAGCAAGTCTCCCGAACTCCCCAGTTCCTTTCCCAGATGTGATCCTGGTTAAGTTTCTTGTGTAAATTGTTCACTTTTTATTTCTGTGGACAGAAAAGGGCCACAGGTTAAACCTGATATGCTTAGGGGACTGAAAATAACCACATAGGATGGCGTGAATATAAAAATTCCTCACTAAGGTGGGCCGTGGAGTGGAAGTCACATTGTTAGCCTGTAGCTTCCTTGACAAAGGTTAATCTCTAACTTAAGTGAGCCTGTTAATATTGTCTTTTGCATCTAGGATAACATTCCCTTGGAATGTCAGTAATCCTTCCACCCTGCCCCCCTATCCTCAGCAACTAAAAAAGGAAATGTAGAGAGAGACCCAGGCCCAGACCCTATGCTAAGCAAGCTCATTTCGGAGAGTACCCCCGCCCAGAGGAATTTAAAAACTCCTGCTTCAGCACAAAAACATAACAAATTGTCTTGTCAAGAAAGTAGAAGATAAGCAAAGCATATGGCTTGTTAGGAAAAGATAAACAAGTCATGTTTTATAGCCTGTTAAGAAGATAAGCGAGTTATGTATTATGGCTGGATAAAAATAATAACCTATGTTTTATAGTTTGTTAAAATAAGATAAACTAACCATTTTTCCTTTTTACACACTAACCGCTTTTTTTTCCGCTTCTGTATCCAGCTTCAACTATAAATTCCTCACCCACCAAGACTTAGGGGCTGATCTTTCCTCTTGCAGAGAGAGAGAGAGAGACAGTCACCAGGCCTGGCTCATAAAGTCTCTGGAACGAAAACCTTTTGTCTAAGTTTTGTTAAGGAGCAGTGACCCCAACAGAAACTACAGAATCCCTCATTATTATTCTTGTCCCCTGATTACCATCTCTATGTGCTGTGAAAAGTAAACTATTAACTATCCTGTACCTACTTATGTGAAAGTACCTGTCTCTTACTTTTTATCCAATCCCAGAGATTGCCCCGCTTTGCTTTCTCCCACCCCCTTAATCTACAACCAGATTTCATGTAACCCTCCTCCTTTGATTCTAATGTATAAAATGAGTTGCAAAACAGCCATTTTCCAGAGCATTTTATCAATCCGTTGAGACTTTGCTTCCCAGCAACTGTCGTCAGTTTGGCTCAAATAAACTCTTATAAGCTTTCTCTTAGGCTGGATGTTTTCTTGTTGACATTTCTAAAATGTTTTTATTAATGCGACAAGAATATTACACAGGTTTCTGATAAAGGTGAAGTATTCCAGACCTTGCCTGGTTTACAGAAACTGAATCTGCATTCATGTCCCAAACACAGAAACTGAAAATCTTCCTGAAATCCAACACAGAATCTAGATCTAAGTCGATTCAACTTTTTTTAAAATCACACATTTTAAACTTTAAGTCACATTGCACTTTACTTCTTTCTATCCATGGCAAAACAAACGCTTCAAAGATTTATAAAAATATCAGGAGTTGGCAGTCACTTGGAAACAATTTATTATCGATGGATTTACATCAAGCAAAAGCATCTAACACACTCAAGGTTAAAATGAAACAATACATAGGTACATGTGTGTCTTAACTAATAAATCAACAGCCCCTGGGAAAATTCCCAATACTCAAGAAACATTTCAAAATAAATGCCCTGTTGGAATCTAAAAAACTGAATGAACGAGCAAAGTAAACAGAAATTGTCTCAGAGATATAGAGGAACAATTGATGGTTGCTAGTTGGGAGCGGGGTGGGAATGAGAAAGGGAAGGGATTAGACGGCATAAATAGGTAACTACAATATTGCCACAGGGATATGAAAAACAGTTCGAGGAATATAATTAATAATGTTGTAAATATTTTGTAGGGTGTCTGATGGCCACATATTAAAAAATAATAAAATAAAATAAAACTGTTAATTTCAATGTTGCCAATGAACAGATCTTCCTTGATCCTTAGATGATGAGGTTAAGACTGACATAATTACAATTAGGGGAGAGGAGGAAGAAGAAAGGATGAAAACCCAGGAATTACAAGGAAGTGAGAAGTAATCCAATTAACAGCAGCATTAAAAATAGGTAATCATATGACAAAATTAATACCAATTTAGAAAATTAATGTCTTTGGGCATTTTCTTCCCCAAATAGGGAGCAGAGTGAATGTGGGAAATTGGATTTTTTAGCAATATTCCTAGGACCAAAGGCAACCAGGTATCTGGAGCTACTAAACTCTCCAATGCTTGAGTATTAACAAGCTCTTCATGGAGTAAGTATTCTAAAAGTTTAATTTAAAAAACTAAACCGACCTTGCAACAGTCAACAAATTCAAATTCTTATTAATCAACCTCTAGTTCTTTCATATTCTATGAAAAGAGGTACATAATTATACCTTTTAAAGGTGCAAATGAAGCTCAGGAGGTCTCCACAGGCAGGGCCTGCCCTGGATTTCTGTGGGGCAGAAAACTGAGGGCAGTTAGAAAGGCATCCAGCACTGTGTGACTTTCCGGTGCCAGGCACTCAGTTGGAAGGCCTCCTGCAGCTGGAATGAGCTGCATCCTAACAAGAGACTGAGCAGTGAGTGGTAAGCAAAGCCCGTGCCAGCAGGGGGAGCCTTCAGGCCTGATGGAGGGTGGGTGGGCCAGGCCTGTTCTTTTCTGATCTCTGCTGGTCTCTAGAGGAAGATTCCTGAAGGCAAGGCAAGCCAAGCTGAGTGGCTCATTTTAACCAGACGCTGCTCTGGGAATTTTAGCCACCTGACAGGATTCTCACACCTGGGCTCTCACCCCAATAGCACTCTGTGCCCCTGCTTGGGAAGGGTCTAGGGAAGCAGATGAAACTAATTAGGACACAGCTCATCAAAGGCAAGGCAAGTATTTTACCAGCTGTGTACAGGAACTTCCCCACAACTGTGCCAAAGGCCAAAGAAGAAATGTTTTTTACCAGAGGGTTCCACAGTCATTGTCCTTTGACTCTGTTCTCCCTTCTTTAGCTCTCTGCCCTGACAACCTCAGCCTGTCTTCACCAGGTTTCTTCTCCCAGACGCGAAGTATTTCTTTTCATCTTGTTTTTGAGAAAGGCTTATTTTTGGGATTTACCCAACTAACCATGAAATGGTTTGTTGGGGTAGAGGGTAAAACTAAACAAACAATCTTCTATGTCTGCACAATGGCTGTTGGCCTTTCAAAATCCTGAGATGCATGGGCCAGCTGCGCTCTTCTACTCTGGGTCCTCTTCGTCCATTGTCCCGTCATAGTTGGTATTTTTCCTCTGCTCAGCAGCTGGGCCTGCAGGCAGGACGCTTGTGACAGTGTGGAGGAGCGCTTCGATCTGCTCCTCTGTGAGCCGTTCCTCACTCTCTTCCACCATCTGCAGAAGGAAAAAAACCCTCAGAGGCTGAGCCACCCATGTGGGTTCCAGTTCCAGCCCAGCCTCTGGGACACAGAGCTTGGGGCCACCTGAGCCAACTCAGGTGTCTAGGTCCTCTCCACCGTGGCTCCACAGGAGGGAGAAGCCAGCTCAAATCCAGGGTAAGCCAGTGCAACCGCTCAAAATGGGGCAGTGAAAAAAAGTTGCAGGTTAGCAAATTTCTGTAAATAGAAAGAAAACCGTAACAATTCTATACACATGTGCATGTGCATATGTTGTATATGCAACAAAAACTGACCTCTGGAGAGTGAAATGTGCTTTGTACATGCTTGTATTTCACAGCCAGCACACATGTAACTTAGGAACTGCATCAACAGCTAACCTAATGACCGCCGCTGTGCGCCAGGTGACTTGTGTAGCTCCCTAACCCTCACTCACCCCGGTGCTAACAGCCCTGTGGGAGCTCGCAGGCCTGGCGCTGCACTCTGCACTTCATACCAGTCTTTTCTCCTCCCAGCAGCTCTGGTAAGGGGCAGAGTCAGAATTCCAGGCCAGGCCTGCCCAACTCCCATGCCTCCAATCTAGCACATCACTCAGCCTCGGTCCCCTCCAGCACTGGCAGAGCAGGAGTGCGACAAGTGACAGCTAGGAAACAATCCCACATAGCTTCACTAGTCTGGTTTCTGACATAGCTCTGGAAATCTGAACACAAAGGTAACAGCCACAGTCATAGGCCAGCTTTCTCCTCCTCGCCTCCAGTTCTCGAGGTGTTAATGGATACAAATGTAATGCACAGCCAGCCAGCCACCTTTTAAAGCAGTGTGCAGACAGTCATCTGTTTGCACATTCACTTGTTGGCATCAGCGTCTATCACAAACAGCTTCCAGCTAAAGGTGTCCAGGGTCTTCTCCGGGATTTCCCACAGCAATCGCTGACATCTGGCAACTAAGACCAAAAAGAATTCTAGAAAGAAATCCTGGCAGATTTAAGTACAGAAAGATTAAAGGCTAAGCTAATAATCCTGAAACCAGTCTGCCTCACTTTACAAATAGTACAGAAGCTAAAGAAGTCAAGTGACACATCCAAAATCATGCTGCAAACTCCTGGCGAAACATTGGTCTCTTCATTCATCTCAGTCCAAAGATGTTTCCAGAACTAGAGAATAACCCTGGGTGTTCTAGAGTGGGGAGATCCAATGGTGGGAGCTACTTCCCACCATGCTATGAAATAAATGACCATTTTCTAGACTCAAAGGCTCAGCTCTACTGAACAAGAAACAATCCTCAAAAACTCATTTTTAAAATCAACATGGAAAACTGGTGTGTGTAAAAGGCACTAATCTCACACAGACTGCTTCCAAAGAATGAAGGGAAAGGAAGGAGGGACCTGTCCAGTTTGGTTTAATCCTGAGAACAGATGATCTCCACCTGAGAAGAATGTCTCCAAGTATCTGAAAAATTGGCGCATGCAGTCGCTGACGAACTGCTTCCCGTGGCAGGGAAGAGAGTAAAGAAGACATGAGCCATGGTTAGAATGGGGACGACCTCCCACCAGGATGTGCCGTGCCCAGTTTGCCAGGGGCTTTCCCGGAACCACGACCACCAGCTTCTCGAAAACACTGCACACCAGGTCAGGACAATTTACAGGCAGGTTGAGGCTCACCATCCCAGGAACACTGGGCCTCACAGCAAGCAGGGCAAGGCCTCCTGCCTCTGCATCCCAGCTCTTTCTAGGACACCACACACTCCAGCAGGAGGTTTCTGTCACTTCCTCTCACAGATGCAAACTAGAGCCCACTGGTCTAAAGGAGTTGGTTATATGACCTCTGAGAGGCCTTCTTTTTTAGAACACCAAACAGTCCACCTTCCTTCATCCCCGTTGAGTTTGGCAGATGCAACACTAAAATTAGTTGTCAGCTAGGTATGTTCTTGGTAACAGGGCTGATGTGCTTTCTATTTGGCCAAATTCTCCAAGAGCAGAAGCTTTGGTTAGTACAGGCCCTCAGGGATAATTAGAAACAGGAACTTTTCTTTTCAACCTAAGATTCCCAGTCACAGGAAGAAAACCTAAGCTGCATTCAGAAAAAAAAAAAAAAAAAAAAAAAAGAAATACATGCAAAAAGAAACTTTCAGAAACCAAAATCTTACTAACCCATCTTAGATCACTAGGGTAAATGATAATAACTATATTATTCTTCACCTTTTCTTCCCAATACATAAGAAACAGAGCCCAAATAAAAAAGTACAAAGCACCACCTCAACATTCTCAGATACCAAACGTTTCGAGCTGTTCAGAATACAAAGGCAAATGAAATTTCAAAATACAAAGTATTTGCACATAAGGTCAATATAAACGATAAACATTTTTAAGCATATACAAAGAAAGGGCCGGCTGAGTGGCTCAGTTGGTTAAGAGCTCGCTCAAGAGTTTGAGCTCTGAGCAACAGCGGTTCGAGTCCAGCCCGAGCTGAGCAGCCG